TGTATATTGTGGATTGTGATAAGAGTTGTACAAGCCCCCAGTAAAATGATTTAAAAAATTAAAATATGATATATTATTTGGCTATTTGTACAAATTTTATAATTGATTGTGGCTTTGGTTCTAATTATGTTAATATATATATAATTAATAAATTCTATTCAAGGACCATCATTCTCCTCCAGGAAGGTTCTTGATAGTCCTAAAAAGATATGATTGCTCATCCCCTTATTAAGCATAAAATGCCACTTTATATTGCAGGTTACTCTTAACCAATTATAGTCAAGCGGTTAGGAAAAATTCTATAGCATAGAATTTAGTAGGACTTGCACTAAAAAGCAGTGATGGCAGAACAGCTCTAGTTTGAGGGGAAAAAATGAAAACAGATAATTCACTCAACAACACTGTGTCTGTGAATAGGTTGTAAAGATCACTGACATATCACATTGATTCCGATTTGAAGCGACTCTATAGGACAGCGAATGGCTTCCTAGGGTTTCCAAGGCAGTAAATCTTTACTGGAGCAGACAGCCTCATCTCAATTGTCAATCTTATCCTTAGCAGCCAATACTTAACCCATTGTCAGCCACACACGTGATTACATACAGTATGATTGGGATGTGTCAAGTAATCATGTACAAGGTGCTATAGGAAAAACCAAAAACTCAGTAACCATCTAGTCAGTTCCAACTCATGGTGACCCTATAGGATAGCAGAACTGCCCCCAAGGGTTAATGAGACTGTAACTTTTTTTTAATATATATTTTTATTAATCATTTTATCGGGGGCCTCTTACAAATTGTATGACAATCCATCATTCAATTCTATTAAGTACACTTGTACATATGTTGCCAACAACATTTCCAAAGTATTTTCTTTCTACTGGAGTCCTTGGTATCAGCTCCTCTTTTTCCCTATCCCTCCCCCACCCTCCCAGCCTTGTGCATCCTCGATCAACTGTTTATTATTGTTATTATTTTGTGAGACTGGGACTCTACATGAGGAGAAAACTGTCTTTCTCCTTTGGAGCAGCTGGTGGTTTCGAACTGCTGGCTTTCCTGCCCACGGCATAACCGCTGTATGCCGTGAGCTCCAAGGAAAAATAGAATTTAGCGAGCAGTGGAGTTTTTCAAAGAAATAGGACATAAGAGTTGGTTTAAGGTGTTTCTTAAACGTACAAAGAATTTTGAAGTAATCTGAATGAAACTGTGCATCGTCAGATGCTTCAGCAGAAATGACACTCATTTATCCTTCATTCTGAAGACTGCCTTATGATGGGCAAGCGGAAGAGACTGGCACCCCGGAGGTCCGCTTGGAAATGGGTTTTGTGACACAGACCTAACATGAATCAAACGGGGTATTGATGAGTTAATTCACGGTGTGTGACCCGAAGAAAATTGGGCAAGGGGCTAAGTTTAAAAAATTTTAATGCCTGGCTTCTAATCCATAAAACACTTCCTTGTGCTGGTTTAAAATATGTGAGAACTGACTAGGGTCCTTGTGTGGGAATGAACTTAGTTCCAGCCACAAAACTCATCGGCCATTCGTACCTAGCACAGCACAGAGGCCAGGGCAAGAACGGACGTCATAGAAGTAAACGTGACGTCATCAGCACTGACGTCTCCCCAGGAGGGGCCGCTCAGCTCGTCTCAGAACGCTGTCAGCTCCAGGGAGCTGGGAATTCGCTGCCTTCTAGTCCACGCAGAGGGGCTGAAAACTCAGAGCAGCACGACCCGAGCGCACAGGGACTCTGAAGCAGGATCGCCTTCCTTTATCGGCCCCTCATCCACGTCCTCCGTAAGGCCCAGTCGGCAGCGCGCGCGCGGGCCCGCTGTCTGAAGCGGTGACGCGCACGCACGCCGGTGCGCACGCACGTTGCCTCCGAATCCGGAAGTGCGCGGGAGAGCAGAGCCACGTGGGTGGAGCTGGAGCGCAGCTCGCATGGGGGAGTCTATCCCTCTGGCCGCCCCGGTCCCGGTGGAACAGGCGGTCCTGGAGACGTTCTTCTCTCACCTGGGCATCTTCTCTTACGACAAAGCCAAGGACAATGTGGAGAAGGAACGCGAGGCCAACAAGAGCGCGGGGGGCAGCTGGCTGTCGCTGCTGGCGGCCTTGGCCCACCTGGCCGCGGCCGAGAAGGTCTATCACAGCCTCACCTACCTGGGGCAGAAACTAGGTACCTCCGCCCCGCCCCCACACCCCTTGAGGGGAAAGGAAAGCGGGTACATTCCCCGTGCGGCAGTGGCTTGGGCTCCTAGGCTCTATTGTCACTGGCAGCCGCAGGCTCGACTCTACCCAGAGTCTCCTCCCACCGGTCCCTTCCTTCCCTCCCTCGGCTTCCACAAACCCCGCCCACCGGCCTCCGCAGCTGATAGATTGGCCGACCAGGTGGATGCTTTTTGCCGGGCTGTGCCCCAAACCAAAAGCTTTATCCATTAGCCCCCATCCCCACCCCCCTGCATGGATCTGTGCCATGAATAAGTTATCCGAGCGCTCTCTTCTACCCAGTGTCTCTGCGGCCAGAAGAGCAAAACTAGTTAACGAACACTATTGTCTGGCCTCTTAAGATTAAGGCCCTGGAGAATTAGAGCTAATGTTCCACCCCATCTGCCATTAAATATCTCATGAGTGAAGATATTAATGAATAATTGGCGGAAAAAGCAAACCTGGTGCTAGCCCGAGGGAACTGAAGAGGATAATGGTAACCACCACCCCATGATAATTCTTGCCCCTGAAAATACGAGATGCAGAAATACCGTGATGCCATTGGTATCCCACAGCAAGGGAAAGCAATGAGTATGAATTAGGCAATATATGTAAAAGCTGAGGACCATGCACACAAAGTATCACTAATTATAGTAATAATGATCAATACTGGCATTGTGTTCGGAGTGGTTTCAGTACTTAACCAGAAGCACAGGATCTGATGTTAAGGACGCATATATATACAGTATAAGAATGCAATCTAGTACCTAGACTCCATTTTGATTTTTCCTCCAGTTTCCTTACACTGTCTGAAGATGACCATGTGCTTTTTATTGAACTGTTAGTAAACCCTCAAAGGGGCAAAGTTTTCTGAAACCTTAGCTTTTGCCTTAGCTATTCAAACGATAATTTGATTTATATTGGCAAGAACTGGCCAGGTGGTTCCATCTTGTGTATTTTTCTACCCCCTTTACTGTAGCATCTCTCACAAAAGTTTGCAATTTCTTGAGGTCTTTCTACAATACAGTCTGACAAATTGGATATGTGGAGTTGTGTGAGTAGGTAATAAGAGCCCAGTTGGGTGTATCTACATGGTTTATCAAAAGATGCATACAGGTTCCATAATTTGTATGTGATATGCAATTCATATATAAATAGTACTTGACAGTGAAGAATATCTTAGCTGTAAAATTTCAGGTGGGTAATTTTTGCAGCATTGATTATTTTCAGATTTTTCTTCAGGAAGGATGCTGATTGGCCATGGTTCTAATGGATGGATATTTAATCCCTAAAAAATTTATATGTGTACATTAAAGTTTGGGGAATCCAGTTGGATTCCCTAAAGCCTATTTATAGGATCCTGAAAGGTGGTAGACTAGACCCCAGTCTGCACCTGTGAAGGATGACAGCCTAGAAAACCATAGGGGACAGTTCTCTGTCCTATACAAGGCTGTTGAGTTGGAATGGCATCGGCTGGTAGGCACCCAACAACCACAGTTTAAGTGGCATGACCTGATTTTTAGGAAAACAGAACTGGCTGCCCTGGTGGGAAGAGCCATGTGTCTACGGTGTTCATTGCTTCTGACTTGGTTTCTGTGCCTTGGCCTATTATGCCTAGAGTGCTTGAACATCATCTGGTGACTATGAACCCGCCGTCCCGAATGTCACCTGACACTAAAATATGCCCAGGCACTGCCCACAAGCTGTGATCTCACCACTTCTGAATAAATGTTCTGGATGGGGGTTGGGGGGAGAAAAAAGGCTTCTGCAACTATGCATAGATAGCAAATATAAGCTGCAGAATTAACATTTTAACTGAGCAGATTAACGGATTGCTTTTCTGATACTGGAATGCATGCAGTATCTGTGTACTTGCCATGTGACTTCAGTGATGATCAACTGATTCCATTTTTTGGAGAAACTTTGCAAACCGTCTTTGAGTTGCTCTTCTGAAGTACTTGAAGATCATAGGAATCTTTTTATTAG